GTTATAACTGGTACCTCAGAAATACAAAGGATCCTAAGAGGCTACTGTGAATAATTATATGTCAACAAATTGGACAACCTAGAAGTGGATAAATTCCTGAAACATGCAACTTACCAGGACTGAATTGTGAAGAAACAGAAAATCTGAGCAGACTGGGTAGTAGTAAGGAGATTGAATCAGTAATCAAAAACCTCCCAACAAACAAGAGTCCTTCACTGGTAAATTCTACCAAACATTTAAGGAAGAATTAATACCAATCCATCTCAAACTCTTCCAAAAAATAAAAGATGAGGAAACACTTCCAAGCTCATTTTACAAGACCAGTATTACCCTAATACCAAAACCAGACAAAGAAGCCACATGAAAACTACAAGTGAATATGCCTGATGAACATAAATGCTCAAATCCTCAGCAAAATTTTAGCAAACTGAAAATAACAATACATTAAAAGGATCATACATCACAAACAAGTGGGATTTATTCAGGGATGCAAGAATAGTTCAACATCCGCAAATCAATCAATGTGATACACCACATTAACAAAATGAAGGATAAAAATCATATGATCATCTCAATAGATGCAGAAAAAGCATGTGACAAAATTCAGCATTCATTTATGATTAAAACTCTCAACAAAGTGGGAAAAGAGGGAATATACCTCAACATAATAAAGCCCATATGTGACAAGCCCACAGCTATCGTCGTACTCAACAGTAAAACGCTGAAAGCTTTTCCTTGAAGATCAGGAAAAACACAAGGATACCCACTTTCACCACTTTTGTTAAACATAGTATTAAGTCCTAGCCAGAGCAGTTAGGCAAGAAAAAGAAAGAAAAGGCATCCTAATTGGAAAGGAAGAGGTAAAAAGTGATTACTTGCAGACAGCATGATATTGTATATGGAAAACCCTAAAGACTCCATCAAAAAAACCTGTTACAACTAATAAAGGAATTCAGTAAAGTTTTAGGATACAAAAAAAATCAATATTTAAAAAATCCTTTGTATTTCTATATACTAAGTAACAAGCCAACAGAAAGAAAAATTAAGAAAATAATCCCATGTACAATTGCATCAAAAAGAATAAAATACCAAGGAATCAGTTTAACCAAGGAGGTGAAGGACCTGTACACTGAAAACTATAAGACACTGACAAAAGAAATTGAAGAAGACGAATACATGGAAAGATATTTCATGCTCATGAATCGGAAGAATTAATATTGTTAAAAGTTCATACTACCAAAAGCAATCTACAGATTCAGTGCAATTCCTGTCGAAATTCCAATGGCATTTTTCACAGAAATAAAACAAACAATCCTAAAGTTTGTATAGAATCATAGAAGACTCTAAATAAGCAAATCAATCTTGAGAAAAAAGAACAAAGCTGGAGGCAACACACTCTCTGATTTCAAACCATATTACAAAGCTATCGTAGTCAAAACAGTATGGTATTGGCATACAAACAGACACATAGATCACTGGAGCAGAATAGAGAGCCCAGAAATAAACCCATGAGTATAGGATCAATTAATTTATGGAAAAGGAGCCAAGAATATACAGTCTCTTCAATAAGTGGTATTGGGAAAACTGGACAACCACATGCAAAAGAATGAAACTGGACCACTATCTTACACCAGCTTATCTTAGACTCAAACATAAGACCTGAAACGTTGAAAGTCCTAGAAGAAAACATAGGCAGTAAGCTGTATTGGTGATGATTTTTTGGATTTGACACTAGAAGCAAAAGTAAACAAGTGCGACCACATCAAACTAAAAAGCTTCTAAACAGCAAAGGAAACCAACAAAATGAAAAGGCAACTTACTGAATGGAGGAAAATATTTGCAAATCATATATCTGATAAGGGGTTAATATTCCAAAATACATACAGAACTCATGCAACTGAATAGCAAAAAACAACAAACAATTTGCTTTAAAAATGGGTAGAGGATCTGAGGACTTTTCCAAAGAAGATATACAGATGGCCAACAGGTACATGAAAAGATGCTCAACATCACTGATTGTTAAGGAAATGCAAATCAAACCTACAATGAGATATCACCTTGCTCTATTAGAATGGCTATTATCAGAAAGATAAGAAATAACAAGTGTTCGTGAAGATGTGGAGAAAAGGGAACCCTTGTGCACTGTTGGTGGGAATGTAAATTGATGCAGCCACTATGGAAAACAATATGGTAGTTCTATTTTTAATATTTTGAGGAACCTCCATATGATCCAGCAGTTCCACTTCTGGGAGTTTATCCAAAGAAAACAAAACCATTGGCTTGAATCTGCACCTTCATGTTCACTGCAGCATTATTCACAATAGCCAAGGTATAGAAACAACCCAAGTGTCCATCAGTAGATGAACGGATAAAGAAGATGTGATATATATACACAATGAAACATTACTCAGACACAAGAAAGAAGGAAATCTTGCCCTTTGTGACAATATGGATGGACCTTGAGGGCATTTGCTAAGTGAAATAAGACAGACAGAGAAAGACAAATACTTTATGATTTCACTTATATGTTGAATCTAAAAACAAACAAAAAACTTGCTCATAAATACAGAGAACAGGTTAGTGGTTGCCAGAGAAGTTTGGGGGAATGGACAAAAATGGGCGAAAGTGGTCAAAAGGTAAAAAAATAAATAAATAGTTATACCCATATGTAGTGACATAGAAAAATACTCATGATATATGTTTGAATGGAAAAAAAAGCAGTAGCAGAAAAATGTGCAAACTGTAATCTCGCTTTCGTTAACGGAGACAGACAGAAAAAAACCTCTTTCTGTTGTGTGTGTCTTATGAGCATGAAGAGATGCACCTAAAATTGTTAATAAGGGGTACTTCAAGATATTCTCTCTACTCAAATCTATGTGACACCAATGTCAATGCCTAAAATAAAATGTCCAACAACAAAACATTATAAGAAGATAAATCCAAAGCATACTAACCAAAGTGGAAAAAGTAAAGCAGAATTACGTTTTCTAAAGAATTAGTAATGCAAAAAAAAAAAATAAAGCAAAGCCATAAAAACTCTTCTGAATAAGCAACGCCAGATGCTAAAAAAACAGAATTTTTTTTAATTTTAGGAAGAATGGCTTATAAATTTAGTATCATGGACTACTTAAAAATATTGGTGAAAGCAGAGAAACAGTGAGCGTTCCAGTAGGTAACGTGTAAAATGCATTTTTAAAAAATGAGAACGAAATGGACATCAGTGCAAGAAAAACATATTGACCTAGAAAACAGATACAGAGACCCACGCTATTCATTCTAAGAAGTCCAGTGTCAGAAGAAAATTATACATTTGAAAATTCATGGGCAATGATATAATACAACAGGGCTAGCAAAAAAAGTGTTCCTCCTGCTCCCACTCCTTCCATCCTCACCTCCCCAGCCCACTCCTGAGACAGTTGTCACTAATGTATCTCAGCAGTCTTTTCCTCTGAGCCAAGATAAGGCTTCAGAAGTTTCCTGAACCTAGAGTTTGGGCCCAGCCTCTACCAAACTACCAAAATTGTAATTGCAATGTAAGATGACAACAACTTGTCATATCTTCAGTAGGAAAGGATCCAAGATACGAATTCACAGCCTAAGAATGGAAAAGGCACACAGGGTCTCTTCAAGGTTTGACATTCAAGAGGAAAACGTTTAGATATATGCTTGTTAAATCCCTGAACTTTAGAAATAAAGAATGATGGCCTCAAGCAACTAAAGGGAAGAGAGAGATTAACATTCAGGCCATCACAGATAAGAACAGCTGGAGACCGTCCTATGAAGGTGCGGAAAAGAATTCCAAAATCCATCGAACCTGCAGAAATTCCTTGGCTGGCAACCTCATCTGCAAAGACTTACCCAAGGCGCATTTAACTTGGATAAGCTACAACTATTGAAAAATAAAATAAATAATGTAAGCAACCCTTAAAAATGGGGAGAAAAGACGTTTTAAACATGTTTCAGAGTCCTATCAATCCTTGCATGAGTTGCGGAAAGTGAATTAGGTGGATCCAATAGCAGACAACATGTTTCCCTTTGGAAATCCAAAGTTGTTCTTTTTAAGAGGTAAAAATGTAAATTTAGACTAAAAAATGATTAGACACTTTTTTGCCTTTAAGTGTCAAGGGGTTGTGTCATTGCAACAAGAACCACTGATTTTAAAACACATCCTTATGTAAGTGCCACTCAGAAAAAGAAAAAACACTTCAATTAAACTGTTACCCAGTGCTTTCTGATTGCTTAGAATTTGGACTTTCCACTCTTTGAAAGTGTTCAAGTAGGCATACTGAGACATGGAAGTGACCACACTACGAAGAGCTGTGAGCAAGTTCACACACACGGAAGCAGTGATGACTTCTTTCTTCCCCCTGGGTGACGGCAGTTGTAGGATGCCATCAATTTTAAGACACAACCTGATTTCAGGGATGTTAAAATGTGGAAAAAATGTGCACCTTCGAATTGATGAAATAGGACACATGAAACAAGTTACCTTCCAGGCGGGTTTAAAAGAAAAGAAGGTGCTTAAAACAGATAAACGTGATCTGGCATGACACGTATTGTACTGCAGGAATGTACAAAATGCCTTAGATAAGGACTTGACCACTGCCCAGGGGAAGCATGAAAGGCATTCCAAGTGGGGCACAGAAATGACCTTGGAGAAGGCAGAGTGGAAAAGAAGAGAGAAAAACCCAGAATGACGGAACAGAGTTCAAATTGTGACAGGCTGGGTTAAAGGCCCCACTTCTGCAGTCGGGATCTTATAATTTGGAGATTCAAGACACAATCATGAGGTTTTCACAAAACTGGCGCTGCCAGTGCCACCATCGGACAAGGGCGGGGAGCACAGTGTCCCTCACATTATAGGTGCTCAGTATAGATTTGTTGAGCGAGTGAGTGAATGTGTGAGAGCGTGCGTATGGGTGAGTGAATAAATGAGTGCGTGAGTTAGGGTTGTCTGTGGCTGAAGATAACAGCTGGTCTCTTTTCCCTTCTCACCCCAGAGAAGCTTGAGAGCGAGAAGCTGAACGTTGCCGAGGTCACCCAGTCAGAGATTGCTCAGAAGCAAAAGCTGCAGACTGTGTTGGAGAAGATCAATGAGACCCTGAAACTTCCTCCCAGGAGCATCAAGTGGAATGTGGACTGTGAGTTTTACAAAGGGAAGTGAGACTGTTAAGTGACGCCTGGGTCCCTACCATGGGGTTTCCCCACGAAGCCACCAGTAAGCTGGCAGGCCCTGGGTGCGTGCAAACCCATTTATCTTTGAGTGTGAGGTGCCCTTCCTCGGAACGAAAACTTGTCATGCACACTGTTGGGGAAAATAGCAAAATGTCGAAATCCAGTGTGCCTTTCTGTAAAAGGCAGTCTGTAGAGATTGGAAGAGGAGGGAAACTGATATTCATTGAGCTACTTCAGAATCCCAGCACAACCTTTTGAGAAAGCTGTTGTCTCCAGCTTGTGGAGGCTTCAGGAAGCGGAGATCCCTACATTGGGGCAGCTGAGAAGCTGGGGGGGCAAGGATTGGCTCTGTTCCAGAACCCACACCCTTGCTCTCACCCACTTATTTTCCAGAAGGAGCAAAGATATGGCTGAGATTGTAGGCACTGTATTTCAAAATGCAGGTTTTCACAGCTAATACAGCTCAAGGGACTCAGAAAGTATAAACGGTTCATTCATATGCTGTCTCAAGGGCCTGGGTCTAATGGGACTCAATGAGTCCGTGTCAGAATCAACGTCAAATCAGCAGATTGGGTGAATCCAGCAGCAACAACATATTTCCCATGGGGAGTCCAAAGTTGCTTTGTTCTTTGTAACTGATAAAACTATGGATTTAGGTTATGTTTTTGCCCTTAAGTATTAAAAAGTTAAGTACTATACCTTACTGCATCCAACTTATACAACTTAAAATGCACATCTCCACAGAACCCCCAACCCCCGAAAAAAAACACCTTTCAAACTCGGGAAAGAAAAGGGAATCTTCGCCCGTCATCGTAGGGCCCCAGTAGCTGCGAGCGACCATCTCTTCAGCAGGTTTCTAACATCCGACATTGGAGGCCGGACGCCAAGTACCGGCTTTAGGAGAATTACACCTTTGCACAGCGTGACCAGCTACCTCGCACGGCGCTGGGCACAGACATCCTGTGTCGGGCAGGGGGAGACACCTGAGCACGGGAGGCAGGGAGGCCAGGGCTCTGGGCCCCAGATGCTGTCCCATGTCCCAGGAATGCGCAGAGTGTTCAGTAGGGGAGAGAAAAGAGGCTTGATCTCTAGTTTGGGAACTGGATCTGCATTTTGGAAATCCTCAATCATCATAAGCACTAAAGTCCTCTAATGAAGTCCCCTGCTGAATGGTGTTTGACCCTATTTCCCACTCCTTTGATGAATATGGGCCATCTCCGTGTAACCCTCCAAACACAACAAAACAAAACATGTTTTAACTTATCGTGGAACCCTGTTTGGGAAAGACTGAGATAGAAGAATGGAATTTTTAAAGCCACATCAGGACCATTGTCTTCAATGGCTTTGAATGATTTGGTTTTGGTTCATGTTCACTTTCATTTTTGTAGGAAAATGCGTATGAGTAAAATAATCACTCATATTACCACTCTTCTCTGGCTATTTTTGTTTTTTGCCCACTACTGTCCATATCAGTGCATATTTTTACTTGATGAAGTCATACACACTCTTGTGTTTTGTTACTTTCTAATATTGTATTATACGTATCTTCTATATTCCCATGTAGTCTTCGTAGTTATAATTTTTGGTAGCTGCTCTGTCTCATGGGGTAGATAACCCACAGATAACTTAAACCCTTTGTTGACGTTCATCCTTTTAGGATGTCTGCCAGCCTACTGCTAATATCAGGTAGTACGAAGTTGAATGTCTTAGGTTGTATCTCTTTTTGCTTCTCTCAAATTATTCCCGGCAGATAGATTTCCAGAACTGAGATGAATTTCTAGGTCAGAGGGAATGATTATCTTGGTGGCCAGCTCCCTGCAATGCCTCGGGGCTTTGAGAAGCACTGGGCCTGTTTACAAGGCAGTGGTTTATAGGGAATGTGGCAGGCCCCACTCCTTGGGAGGCTCCGACCACTCCTCTCTGAGCTATCTTCCCTGGCTGCTGCTGAGGACGTGGCATCATCTTGCTCATCAGGATACAGGTGGCCGGGACGGCTGCTGACTCACCAAGGTCCTCGATCCAGGACTTTAGGGAATTCTTCCTTTCTCTTTTTTTTATTCACAATAATAATTGTTATTATTGAAAATTTGGAAAACACAGATAAATTAAAAGAGATTTAAATAACATCTAATGTATTTATGATGCTTACTGTATCCCTTGTACTATTCTAAACACTTTACACATTTTGATCCTTGTACTCCGCACTCAACCATCTGACGTAGGAATTCTATTATCCTCATTTTACAGATGGGAAAATCAAGACATGGAGAGGTTAAGAAACAATGAATGCAAGCTTCATGAGGGCAGGGATTGTCTCTTCACTGCTGTAACCCTAGAACCTGGAAGAGTAGCTGGCACATACTAAGCACAGTAGTATTTGCTAAAGGAGTGTCACTGTCCAAGGTCACACAGGTAGTAAGTGGTGGAGCCAGGATTGAGACCCAGAGAGTCTGGCTGCATGGCCTGTGGGTGCTAAGCCTACACATTCTGCCCCCATAAGCTGCCCAGCCAGAGACAGGCATTGTCAACCTTCAAGTCGTGTGTGTGTATGCTTATAAGAAATAAATAGATCCATAAATAAATAAAATGTGTAGACATACTTTATATGTAAAATATGCATATTTACTTTTAGAAAAATGAGATCAACCTGTATATGTTGTTTAGAAGATGTATATCTTTACACATCATTAAATATTCTTCTATATGTCACTTTTATTGTACAATATGACATAGTATGGGTGTATCATAATTACTGCTTTAGGATAGATACCTAGGAGTGGTCGTTTTAGGGCCAAAGGATATGTACAATTTTAAAGTCATAATACATACTGTCAAGTTGTCTCCAAAAAAATTATGCCAATTTCTCTTTCTACCACAATTCACTTTGGGAGGATTGTTTCTAACTCGGCAGCTCCTTTGAAAGGGTTTTCTAGCCCTAGGGTGACGCTTCCGAGTCTTGGCCCTGCTCTCATTCTGCACGTTTCCATCCTGACTTGAGCACAGGAGCACAGAGGCCCTGGCTTCTGTCTAGCATCAGGGAGAAAACTCCCAGGAGACATGCTGAGAGATGGCAGGAGGAGGGTACCCAAATATGCAAAAGTTGTTAGAATTTTTCTTAACTGAAAAGATAACATATCTTTATTCTAAAGAAAATTTTGAGATAGGAAAAAAAAAACATCTTTCCGCTCTAGAATAACTATTTTCATTTTGTTTTTATATTTCTTTCCAAGCCTTGGCCACAAGTACATGCTTGTATGCATGCATGCGTGTGCATCCATATGTGTGCATGTGTGTATGTGAGCATGTGTGTATACATAGATGTATATGTATGTACATAAACACGCATGTACATGTATAAGTATTTATACACATGTGCATATCCATCAATATGGATATTTATATTATTTATATTATTTCTCTTTAACATTACATTATTGATATTTATAGCTACATTGTCTTTTTTTAAACTTTTTATTGAGATTATGATAGTTTACAACCTTGTGAAATTTCACTTGTACATTGTCAGTCGTGTTGTAGGTGCACCACTTCACCCTTTGTGCCCACCTCCCACCCCTCCTTTCCCCTGATAACCACCAATCAATTCTCTTTGTCTATATGTTTAGCTTCCACATATGAGTGGAGTCATGCAGAGATTGTCTTTCTCTATCTGGCTTATTTCACTTAACATAATACCCTCAAGGTCCGTCCATGTTGTTGTGAATGGGACGATTTTATCCTTTTTTATGGCTGAGTAATATTCTGTTGTATGTTTATACCACATCTTCTTTATCCAATCATTAGTTGATGGGTACCTAAGTTGCTTCCACATCTTGGCTATTGTAAATAATGCTACAATGAACATAGGGGTGCATGGGACTTTTAGAATTGCTGATTTCCAGTTCTTTTAACAATGATTTTCAATGCACGCGAACTATTCCATTCTCTAAGCATACCATAATTTATTAAAGCAGACACTATTAAACCATGCTTGGCCCAACTTAAAGATTTGCAAGGGAAAACTCAGACATCCTTGATGAGAGGAACAGCAGCTGTGAGGGGCTGTAGGTGGGACTCAGGGACCAGAGTGCTTGTACTTCTTTCATCAGTTTTGTCTCGTGGCTTTTAAAACAAAGGGTTTCTCTGTATAATAAAAAAAAAATTTTGAAAACCACTGGGCTAAACCACCCTCTTGCTATTGGATATGTGTTTCCCAAATTTTTAAAAAATGATGATATATTACACAATAATTAATATCTTTGAACATGTAGCATATATGTGTATGAGAGAGAGAGAGGGAGAGAAAAAGAGAGTAACTGTATAATTCTTTCTTTTGAAAAACTCCCCAGGAGGACAGAGGTCTCCTTGAAAGAGTCTGACGTCTGTGTGGTGCTTACGCTATAGCTCTGTATTGCTTACCAAGGCAGTTGAAATAACAGACACTGTCATCAGTGTGTAAGAACAACCTCTGTGAGCACAGCTTTTCCAGCATTATATTTTATCATTAAGAGAGGGAGAGGTAGCAAATGTCCTTACAAGCCTCAGGGCCTGGACCACTGGTGTGGCACTTCTGATCAGAGGAGCAGAGCTGGATTTTGCCTCTGTCAGTGAGCGCACCATGTCAGTGGGTCAGTCCCATGCCAGGAGCCTTTTTTAAGGGTGAAACTAGTTGACAGTGCCCAAAAGCCCAGAACTGAAACCTTCTTCTGGAAGGCTATGAGATGGGAGTCGTTCATCTGCCATTTGATGGTGATATTGTGCTGCTGGTCATGGTCGGTGGAAAGCCTTCTTTAAAGTAGTGATGATAAGGAGAAACTGTAAAGAGTTCCTAAGGAATGTCTGCATCATTTCCTTTTCCTAGTGATTTTTCAAAGCTTCCGTTGCGGCAGACTCATTGATCCTTAGGCAGACAGAGTGACACCCTAATAATGGGCCCAGTTCATGCTAAGTACACACAATGGGCATTTTTTGTTCTTTCCTTAAATGCCCCCTGCAATGAAGAGCCACGAAGCTGGTAGGACTGTGAAGGCAGGTAAAGTATCTGGTGAATCTTCCCTTTTTGTGAGAAAGAAAGGGGAGAAAGTAGTGGTTTAATTGCCTGAGTGCCAAGCACTTTCTCATAAGTTCTAATAAAAAATATCAGCCATTCCTAGGCAGCTGCTATGTGCTGGGAGCTTTGCCTATATTATCTCTGGAAATTCTTACAACTGTATTTCTGCATAGGTACTGTTAGCCCCATTTGTGAAGTTGAGCAGATTGAGGCTCAGAGGCTTGAGTAGCCTACCCAGGGTCATGTAGGCAGTAAAGAGATGGTAGAGTTGTCAAGTCGGAACTTGAGCTCCCGTCTGCCTGACCCTGTGTGAACCCCATTACGTCACAGTCTTTTTCTCCTCTCATCCACTGTGAAAACTTCAACCTGAACAGTTGCCTAGCCTTCTCTAGCTTAAGTAGCTTAACATCCACCACATAGCTCGGTAGTTATAGAAGCCAACTAGGTCATGAAGGTCTCCTCCCAGCTATTCCCCAAGAGGCATTTTCTACATTGACCATACATGGCACTCAAGAAAGCAACAAAGCCCTTTAGATGTCTCTCAGACCTTCCTCCGGAGATCTTAAAGCCCTGAACAAAGAAAGGAGTCCAGTGTTCATGGCTCAGTGTCCATTTGTTGAGGGCCTGCCATGTGTAGAGCCTTGGGACAAGGGTGGTGGTTATAACCCAAAGAGTTCACAGTCAGATGGGAAGTGAGAGGGGGTGCAGAGCAGACGGGCTCATGGTTATTAGAAGAGAGTCAACAAGAACATGGAGTGGCAGAGGGCTGATCTGAGCTCAGAATTCAGCCATGGTCAGGGTCCCAGTGGGAACCTTGGGTTAGAGTGGAGAGGTACTACACTGGAAATCTAGCGATAACACGACCCAAGAAGAAGCTCCATGGGACCCGGCCAAGGACTGAGGGGGCCTAGGGTAAGGCCTGTGATGACCAAGAGTGTCCCCTGACCCACAGGGGTGGGATGAGAGGGGCACTGGGTATGGTCCTGCTGCACTTTGAATATCTGCTTATATCTGCCTAGAACCTAGAAGAAGATTCTCTAAGTTCTAAATCATCTTTTCTTTCAGCTGTTCATGCCAAGAGCCTGGTAGCCATCTTGCATCTGCTGGTTGCTCTGTCCCAGTATTTCCGGGCACCAATCCGCCTCCCAGACCATGTTTCCATCCAAGTGGTTGTGGTCCAGGTAAGAGAGATACCACTGCAAACACCTATGCCCTTTAAAGAGGTGTGGAGGCTGAGTTCCTGTGAGAGCTAAGGCACACTGGGGCGCTCATTGGAAGGACAGCTGAACGAAGGCTGAGTGTCTTTGGCTGTGCTCTGTGTTGGACGGCATGTGAGTGAGCTTTCTGGTGCGTGGGGCTTATCCCAGATATGTGTGCAAAGGGGGGAAGAGTGTGTGCTTGTGTATGGGATGGCCCTGCGTGGGCATGTGTCTGGGCTTTACATGCCTTTGTCAGGAGGGTGTCCGTGTAATGGGTATTTGAGGGTGTGTGGTATGTGTGTTTGTGAGGTATGTGTAGTAGGATTGGAGGGAAGATGTCTCTGTGTGTGTGTATGCCCTGAAAGTCATGCAGAATCATCATTTTTTGGTTAAATGATACACAGGTACTGGGAAGAGACGGATATCTGTGCACATGAGGCATGCATGCGTGCGTGCCTGTGTGTTTGAGAGACCCTGACTGGCCGTGTCTGTGTTGAGGGCACGGCTGCTTTTCACCCGCCCAGAGAAGTGCAGCTGGGATCTCAAGTCATCTTTTCCAGATTGTTGGATGGAATTTCCATTCACATATGGCTGTGTAATTTCCACAATGAGGGTGTGCTCTCGCCCCGTGACTATCTCACTCTGCTCCTAACCCCATTAGCTGCTCAAATTTAATTTTATTTTCCAACTTTATGCCCGCTTAGCAAAAGGTCATCATTTTGTTTGCTTCTTTCTGTTCTTTTCCAAATAAACATGCTGCAAGGGAGAATTCCTCTTATAAGCAGCTCGCTGGGTATCCAGGGTTATCCAGGGTTCCGGAAGAGAGAACAATATGGCAGCTCTGCCATCCCTTGGTGAGAAAGAGCCATGAGGTCTGGGTAGGCCTTGCTTGGCCAGGCCAGGCCAAGCCACTTTCTGGGACAAAAGGTCTTTGAGCTGAGCTTTCAAGGATCAGAAGTTAATGGGAGGGGAGGAGGGCATGGGGGTGCTGCTCAATCAATTGCTCAGTTACGCCCTGATGAAAAAGTATTTCTTATACACCTTCTGGGTACTTAACTTGCTGAACGTCAAGGGTCTGTGGTAGGAATATGACACCTTGGCCCTGTCTCTCAAGAGATAAGGCTACACAGAAGCAGCAGAGGGGCTATCAGAAGCCCATAGTCAATGTGTGTGGTTCAGACACTAAGTGCAGCTGACTGAAAGGGACGAATTGGCCTCATTTATCGAGCACTCAGCTGTGTCAAGCACGGTGCTAAGCATTTCGTGTCTGCTATGGCTATGTGGCCAGCCCATAGCATCCCGGTCCATGCATCTTCCTAGTGAATCCAGGCCATCTCTACTGTGTTATTTTTACCAATCAATAATGTGTGAATCCATTTCATTATATTTTTTAAAACTATGGTTCTAGATTTGAACAGGAGGGGAGGTGGGGCTCCTATTTTGAAACAGTGGACCCTGCAAGCCCACATCTCATGCCTTATTTTGAGCTCAATTATAGGCCATCAGAAGGCTGTTGCTGGTTTAATTTCTCCTGTAGGCAGTTTTGTTAGCTTGAGGGAGGAAAGAGGATGCGTTTCATAAAATAGCATCCATGCCTGTCAGGTTTTATGGGGTGTTTTTGCTTTATCAAGTCAAACAGGCACAGAAGCAAGACTCAGAATTGGCCGTGAGTCACTGACCGAACGAGAGAGAGCTCTTTAGGGAACAGATAATGGATCGAGGTGAATCAGGATGCTGTGCGAGGGGTTATTTAAGCCAGATTTCTTTTCCATTCTGTATAAAAGCATTTAATTCTGCATGAAGTTGAAGATGAGGTTTTACATCTGTGAATGGCTTTATAAGACAAGGACACAGATTCCATTAGCCCCATGTGAACATTTTGCATATGTTGAAGCTGAATTTGGAAAAAGCCCGGATTTATCCTCACTGGATCTCCTTTAAAAGTTATCTTTATTTTTTTCCCTTACTTTCTTTTTGCTTTGATAGTCCATTCTTCTTAATCTAATCCAGATACACTCTTGGCCTTTATCCAGCTTTGCCTTTCCTTCTGTAAAAGTATCTTGCAAGGACACTAGATGCTATGGCTATTGGGAATGTGAAGAGAAGGTTCTAGAAGTTTTGACAGGAGGGTCAAGAAGGCAGGTTTCAGTTGAGACACCAATGCTTGGAGGCTCCTTCTTGACAATCATCTCAGCTTTCATGGAAGAGGAATTTTCTCTGACAATTGCTTTCCATGCCCAGACCGTCTAAGTGTCTGGTAACTGACTGTGAAGGGACCTAATAAAATGAATCTCCCTCCTCAGGCCCATCTGAAGGTCTTCCTGAATCCTAACACTCCTGTGTTGACTCCCACGCCCGCACAATGAGCTTTAATCTCCAAACCAGCACTCGATTGATTCCCCATTGACTATTGGCAGCCTCCTGCAAACAGCCTCCTGAACACATTTGTGCTCTCTTGACTGTGTCTTTTTGCTCGGGCCAGTCCTCCCACTGCAACGGCCTCTGCTCTATGTCCAGCCAAGTCCTATCCTTTAAGTTCCAGCTCAAGGACCCCTTCCCTTGGAAGGGTTCCCTGACCATCCCGGCTGAAAGTGCCTGCATTCAGCACCTCCTCTCTGCATAGGGTGACCATGTAATTTATTATCCATGACACTTTTGAAAATGAAAGGGGATCCTACTAATAACTGAGCTGGGATATCAGGCATAAGCTCTGTTTTGGGGAAAGCTCACATACTGCTTCATCTATCTCATTTTACTCTTAAGTTCCTCGAGGCCAGAAACTATGACACACGTTCCATAGTATTTGCTCCAAGTCCAGCACAGGGGCTTGTACGTAGAAAGTATTGATTGATAAAATAAACAAGAGACAGGATGAATTGACGGGAAGGGGTGGGTGGATGGATGGATGGGTGGATGGGTGGATGGGTGGATGGGTAGATGAATGGCCCAGGCTCCAAATTGTTTGCCCTTTTCTCAGAGAGTAAGCTAGTTACCTGAGGACAGTACTACTTATTTAAAAGCTCCTTTATTCATTAAAAAACACAACAGCTCTCCCTGTATTTGAATTCTCCAAGTTGGCCTCAGTTCCTCCACCCCAGACCCCCAGCTAAATGTGTTTCTCAGCTTGTCTCTGTGGCCCCAGCTGGAGGGCAGACACACCCTGGCCTTCATTTCCATTTGGTTTACTGTGGATTACTCCAGGAGGCAAACTGTTTGCTTCCAGCAGAATGTCTTCCAATAAAGAAAGAAAAGATTCACCATCCAAGAAACAGCCTACTTGTTTGGACTAAACACTAATTGCACTTAAGGACAAATGGTACAGTCCGGTCCCGGGAAATGAGGGGCCTCGTTTCCCTTCTAGCAGTATCTTGTCTCTGGATTCGTGTCTTAAACATCAGTTACTTTCTCAATAACAGGAATGCGAATACATTTTTTCTATTTTTTTAAAGCATATTTTTCTCTCCTCCTCCCAACCCTTCTCCCTACCCCCATTTCAGAAACGAGAAGGAATCCTCCAGTCTCGGCAAATCCAAGAGGAAATAACTGGTAACACAGAGTATGTCAACACCATTGTTGCCAGCGATTCTGTAATGGAACACAGATGTTTCTCCAAAATTCATCCATTTGCTGATATTTAGTTTTCATTTATTGGGATTGCAAGAGGGATTAGACTTCAGCCAATGATTATGGTTTAGCCTTTTCCATGCATTCAAAACATGCCTCTTGATGCTTAAGGTACCAACTTGGGTGGGGAAGTGGGGAGAGGGAATTAGCAGTGATTGAAAAATTCTAATTTTGTGGCAGTCCAGGAAAAAGTGTGCCCAAAAAAGCCAACCAGCATGAAATCGTCATGCCATAAACATGGGGTTGAATTTAAATTGTTAACCTTCAAAAGGACGTTTTTCTTCCTTTTCTGAATCTGATTTATTTGGTCGTGTGCCACGACCCAGAAAGCCCCTGTCTACCTTGGAGTGGTGGAGTAGTGTTTTGTGTTTTTCTTCATTTATGTCAAGCAGTTGGAATATCAGAACCTGTAGGGTGTTTGCCATGGGGAAGACAAGTTTTGTTCTTAAGCAGAAAGAGCAAGATGGTGTGTGTGGTTTTGAGATCACTGGCAAGAGTTCCTTTTCAGCCTCCCATGCACCCCCAACTTCTGTGTTCCCTTGAACAAGAGCGAAGCGGGAAGATCAGGGACCTATCAGCCAGCCCGACTTGAGTTCAAATGCAGTCTCTGCCACTTAGTCACCAGTGAGCCCCTTACGCTCTCTGACCTTGGTTTCTTCATCTCTGGAGCAGAGAGCATCTTCCTAACCAGAGAGATTGTGAGGATTCAAGTGGTAATGACCATCCCCCTTTCACTTGCCTTTCATGGCTTTCTTTCCTGACTTTTCCCCGTCACAGTTGACCTGCATCTTCCAAGCTTCGCCCAATCTCCAGGGAACTCATCCCCCTGCCCAGTCATGGCTGACAGGGGTCCAAGACACTGTCTGTCTGGACCACCCAGTGCATGTGACTTAAAAATGGCCCCGAGGTGGAGGGTGGGGGCAGCCCCGCAGGCCAGTGGTTAAGTTCATGGGTTCTGCTTCGGCAGCCTGGGGTTTGCCGGTTCAGATCCTGGGTGCAGACCTACACACTGCTCATCAAGCCATGCTGTGGTGGCCTCCCACACAGAAGAACTAGAGTGACCTACAACCATGTACTGGGGCTTTGGGGAGAAGAGGGAAAAAAAAGGAAGATTGGCAATAGATGTTAGCTTAGGGCTAATCTTCCTCACCAAAAAAAAACTGGCCCAGGGGGGTGGGCATTTCAGGCCCAGGACAGGAGTGTGGAGTGGACTTTCCCAAGATGCCCCATTGGTGGCCTGTGGAGACCCCATTAGGCAGCCTCTCTGAACTCCAGGTGCCAGTCTTGGCAATTGATCTACAAGGCACACTGACCTTTGGCCTGGGATGTACCAGGGGCTGCCTGGGTCAGGCCTGCTGGGAGAGGAGCAGAGTTCCTCACCGTCCTGCCCTGCACCTCCCCTACCCTTTGCTGGGCTTGTCCGCGCTGCTGCCAAATCAGGGCAAGGGAAGTTTCGGTTTGTGGAACAAACTCTCAGCTGTATGTTGTGCCTTCTATGGTCTTTCTCTGCCATCTTGCCACATAGACATAAACATGGATGCAAACTCTTATAATGACAACATAGGGCGGTTTATGAAACCCTTTTATATCTACTGAGGTTCATAATAAACCCACGAAACAATGATTACACCTCCTAAAACCCCACAGCCCAAACACAGGTGGGGAAGGAGACCATTGTTGGTCTATCCAACCTTAATTCCAAGTTCATTATTCTTTCTAGTACACTCCCCACAAGTCATCATTTAGTGGGTAATAGATATACAGTTGGAATAAACCAATACAATAAGAACAAAAAACATGTTGAAAAAATTCACTGAGCATTTACTAAATATTAGGAATTATGCTAAAATCTGTCTACATATTAAATCATTTAATGCTCACAACACCCTATTGAGGTGTTTGCCATTATTATCCTCGCTTTAGAGATCAGAGACCTGGAGCCCAGAGGGTCGGTAGCTTGCCCGCAGTCACACAGCAAGCAAACGGCTCTGTGGGGTTTAAGCCCCAGTGCTCTGTCTCTGATGCTGGTTCTCTTAATGCTTTGCTGCCTCCTTGCTCTGAGTGGGGTCCAGCTCCTGCCCTCTTTGAGAAAACCTGTCCTGGCTCAGCGGCAGTGCAGCTTGGTGGGTATTCCAGGACGGGCAGGAGAGATACAACCCTGACCTCCCCAAGCAGATGCCCACAGCAGCCTGGGCAGTGAAGTCCCACACTGGGGTGGTGGCCAAGCTCTGCTCCTGAAATGTGGATGGGAATCTTGAACCCCTGAGTCTAGTATTCCTTCTCAACTGTAAGCAAGAGTGTGATTTTATTTAAGGCAGGAAACTTAAGATTTTTGTTTAAGGCATCTTTCTTTTATTCAAGAAAGATGCTTAAGTCCTTTAAGCATCATTTATACCAGGCTTTGCACAAACACCAGTATATCTGTATAGCAGAGGGAAAAAATGGGTGGTAATGTGGTAAAGACCACTAATAACTGGAGCCTGAGAGCAGAATAAAATGCCAAGGAAGCTTTTTGGGCTCTTCAACCAAGGGCAAGAAGAGGAGAGTCATGCTGTTTTCTTTCTCCCTTTCCTGCAGGGCTCTTTCTGGAAGGCATGGTAAGTTGCATAAGATTGTCCTCTGGTGCGGTGGCTGCCCCGGGGTCTAGTTAATTCTGCAGCAGCTGGAAAGAGTAGGCGCGCGGCTTGCTCCCTGCAGAGCGTCTGCACCAGCCTGCTGACGGGGCTGCTTGGCAGGGAGGATCCACTTACTTGTGGGAAGAGGAAAGCGCACCACGACTGCACAGTCCTCTTGCAAGTAACCAGACCACTGACATTGCTGGGCTTCCCGACCAGTCCTGGGCATCTGCAGGGCAGTCTTGGTCTAAGTGTATTGTGGCAGTAAAGGAAAAAGCGTATCTACACGCTGAGGACTCTCCCGACCCTGCCCAGCCCTTCTAGAAGCTGCCTTCTCCCTCTTCCCTCATCACACCTCCTACCTCTCCCATTTCTCAGAACTTTGGGTTTGTTTATAAAGTTTGTGAATATCGGAGCTCACAATCACCTTCCTGGCTGTCTCAGATTTACCCTTGGGTGCAAGAGTCGGAAAGGCAGACCCCAGGACCACGAACCCTCCCAGCCCCAGGTTCCTCCCGCTCAGATCCCCTCCACTGCATCAGCTCTCAGTTTGCAGAACATGGGGCTGTAGCACGGAGAATGCCTGCAGGGGGCATGGCTTTGCTACTTTCCATGATCCTGTATTTACTATGGATAATATTTTGAAATATTCCAATAATGCTAATAACTCAGATCAACAGAAACTTCAGAGTGTACAGAGCACACACACATGTACATTCTTGTCTTTCATCCTCATGACACAACTGGGGGGGGGCGTTCATTTTTTGGGTGGCATTTGGTAGAAGAGGAAACCAAGGCGCAAAGGGTTGAGGTGGCCAGATCTCAGGAGGAGGCGCTCGCATCCTATGCTGGGCTCCCTGGTGCCCAGTCTGTTCATCTCTGCCCTCTACCAGAATGTTGGTCTTGGACGACTTGGTTTTGAAAATTAAAGGGTGAAGTGATTCGATATTTGGATAACATTCTACCTCCAAAAAGCTTCACAAACACTTTAGAATTATGACTAAATCAGGATGTAATGGAATACAAATAGCGCAGAGATGACCAATCCGAAGTCAACCTGCCATCAGGGCCCCCAAACCCGGCCCAAAAGAGGGTTGACGTAGAGGGTGGGTGCACGCGCGTGCACACACACACACGCAGAGAAAAAGGCCCCAACGGTAAGACTCAGCCCCAAATGTCTGCCCAAAAGCCAGCTTCCCAAGTTCCCAGCACAGTCTCATACTCCAAAGAAGTCCCGTCTAGAGCTGAGCACGTGGCCTTTAAAGGCTTCAGGCTGGGACCTGGGTGGGGTCCCCACCAGGAGTCAGCTCTCTGCTCCCCTTCACATTTTCCTCTTCAGAACGTGATGCCTTCGACACGTTGTTCGACCACGCGCCGGACAAGCTCAACGTGGTGAAAAAGGTGGGGAAAAGGGGCCTGGGAGGAGGGAGTTAGGGAGGGAGGGGAGCAAGATGTGGCAAAACGTTAGGGAAACCCACATCTGCAGGTTGCAAGCTTCCTGAAACTGGTGTCATCACCAGATCTCTGCAAGCACGGGGCAGTCCCGCTGGATGTCTGTTTTACGTGTCTTGTTCCCACTGGATACTTTATCCAGTCCCTTTCTTCTCGCATCAGGATGAAAGTGTCCCTTGGGGGTTCCGAGGCTACAAGCACCCTGTCTTCCCACCTGCACTGAACCCCTGGCTGTCCCTGCCTCCTCACACAACCCTCCCTCTGTCTTCCCGGGCACAGGCACCTGCACCTAGGAAGAGCCTGGGAGGAGGCACCCAGTGGGTCATTTCTTCTCTGGCCCACTTCCTAATTGCCCCTCGGCCCCCTAACCCTGCACCTATCGTTCTGCCTCTCAGGACTCCCCGCTCCCATCACAGTCCTGACACTGGCTATTTGAACCACACAGTGTATGGGGCTGCAAATGCCAGGGCGCATCCTTTCCCGGGAACTCGGGCTCTGCAGGAAGAGCCCCACAGGCTGCTCGTCCTCTCAGCTCAGTACAGTGATCCAGGCCAGCCGAGAGCGCTCTGTTCTCGCCGGTCCTTGTCCTCATGGTGGAGTTGCAGAGGCGGCTGCAGGGCCTGGCGTGGCGAGAGTCTCCATCTCAGTTCCCGGCTGTGCTTCTCTTTCAGACGCTCATCACGTTTGTGAACAAGCACCTGAATAAACTGAACCTGGAGGTCACGGAACTGGAAACCCAGGTGAGTGACAGCCCCGGGTGCAGGGTGGCGGGGCAGGGCCCTGCTGACAGCCCCATCCCCCCACTGCCCGCAGGGCTCTCCAGCTGACCCTGAACTTTTCTGGGAGGGAGGGGGGTTCCATTCTGCTGGGGGTGGGGGGGGGGTGAACCACATGGAATTTCTCTGAATTTTTTCCGATGTTTTATTTTGAAAAGTTGTAAGAATATTATCATGGATACCCATATACTCCTCACCCACGCACACCAATTGTTAACATTTGGCCACGTTTGGGGTTTTTACTCCCTCTCCACTCCTAAATACTTCAGTATACACAGTCCCCAACTTACGATGTTTTGACTTAGGATTTTTTGACTTTATGATGGTGCAAAAGCTATACATGTTCAGTAAAAACCGTACTTAGAATTTAGAATTCTGATCTTTTCCCGGGCTGGTGATATGTGGTACTATCCTTCTTGTGATGCTGGGCAGCGGCAGCGAGCCGCGGCTCCTGGTCAGGCACGCGACCACAGGGGTAAACGACCCATATCCTTTCAACCATTCCATACCTGCACAACCATTCTGTATTCACCTTCAGCACAGTGCTCAATGAATTACACGACATATTCAACACTTTATTATAAAATAGGCTTTGTGTTAGATGGTTTTGCCCAACCGTAGGCTAATGTAAGTGTTCTGAGCACATTTAAGGTGGGTGAGGCCAAGCTTCGGTAGGTTAGATGTATTAAATGCATTTTCGATTTATGATTTTTCAACTTACAATGGGTTTATCAGGATGTAACCAGATCGTAAGCTGAGGAAGATCTGTATACATCTCTTAAGAACAAATACTTTCTCTTACATAGTCATAATACAGTTATCACATTCAGGCAATTTTAACGTCAATACGAGATGTTAATCTGTTTAGGTTGAACCATACGAAATTGCTGATATTTGACTATTTTTGACCATGTCATGTGGTTCAAGGAAACTCAGCCTCCTTTCCTTTGTGATGAACTTCCGAAGTGCTTTTCTTTTGAGCTCGTGGGCATCTCCTGTTATTTTGAAAGGCACTTCCCGGGTCTGTGGCTGAGCTCTACCTGAGTGTGTCTGGACGCTGCGGAGTGAGCTTCGTAGACTCTTTTGGGAGAGAGGGAACGCCCTGGAAAAGTGATGCTTCCTCGAGGGGGCTAGAAGGAGCTCTGGAACGTTCACTTCAGTGTTTACAGGCAGGGAGTGCTATGACAGGGAGTCTCTGCTGACAGGCGCATCTCACATCCGTCTGCACGCTTTACCACCAAGTCAGGAGACCAGCAGTCGGGGGTGGGAGCAAAGTCAGTGGCTCTCAGAGCTGTCAGTAACACAAGGACGCCTGACCCTAACCCAGGGTCCTCCCCTGAGCTGACAGATTGGATTCCTTTATTCTCAGCCCATTCCAGCCACACCCAGAATGGGGCCCAGTTAACCAGTTCCGTGGGAGGGCCTTGATTTTGACGCAGACGCTGGGGCCTGCTCTCCCGGTGTCCACCCTCGGTTGAGTCATGCTCAGGCCCTGCCCGCCTGAGTTGAAGGCCAATGGATGGGAGCAAGGAGGAAGCTGCTCTTAGGTCAAGACCTCGCCCAAGGTCATCCTCCCATAACCAAGGCTGAGCCGCAGGCCCACCAGCCTGTCACCCAGCAGAGCTCCGACTCTAGACTCTGGGACCAGCCCACATTCCGGGCAGTTCAGTCTAGTTTTTGCTGTTTCCTAAGATGATTCCAAAAACTTTGGCCTCTTGCATACTCTAACAACTGCTGTTTATGCCCACAAACATTTGGTGGTCCCGCCTCCTTTGAAAGATTCTAGAATATCAGATGTGCATCTGACCTCTATATCTTTGCTCAGGCCATCCTCTGTACCTGGGACTCCTACTCTGTCCAAATTTCCCTCACCCCACAGGCCTCCGCTGCCTCCACAAGCCTGCCCCCATTGCCAGCGCCCACCCTCCCTCGAGGAGAAGGCCTCCCCCCTCTGCTTAGCCCAGGAGTCTGTTGTCCCTCAGACCAGGTTCCCAACTGGTCCAGCCACCACTGTCCTCCATGGAAGGGACCAGGCTCTAAGCCTCTCGCCATGGCCCTCAGCACAGTTGTGCTTTGTCAACAAGAGCCAGGAAGTTGTGTCCTGATTGCTTTGTTGTTTCTCTGGACAGTAATAGCAACAGTGAATATTCATTAAGAATTGCCTACATGCCAAGTGGTGTTCCAGGCACTTTACACACCTTAACTGGTTTAGTCCTCAGGATAACCTATTAAGTAGATACTATACTGTTATCACCCCCATTTTACAGATGAGAAAAATGAGGCCCAGAGAAGTTATGTAACTTGCTGGAGTCACAAAGCTAGTAAGTAGTGGAGCTGGAGGCCCAGCTCTGGAGCCCACATTCATGACAGCTACGCTAAGCTGCCTCCTCAGCAGTAATACCCTGCAAGGTGAGAAAGGAGAATGCCCAGGCCTGGATGACACTAGAGTCTTTCTCCGTTCATAAAGCAAAAGCCACCCGAGTAGCCTCATGCCATTGGCCATGGACATCGCCTTTCGCTCCTCCAAGAGCTAACTCCTGCTCAATCTCAGGTCTCCATTCAGGCAGTGCCTCCTCCAGAAGCCTCCCCGGTGGCCTTCAGTGGGAGTGAGTGACCTCTGTCCTTCTCACGCAGGCCACCGTGCTTCCCTCCATCAGAGCAGCCGCTGCATTTCCTCTACCTCAGTCTCCCCACCAGACTGTGAGCTCCTCGAGGGCAGGGGCCACACCTGACCCCTCCCGGTGGTCCCCGTGCCAGATCAGGGCTTGGTACGTGGTTGATGCTCAAGAAATGCTGGATCAGCTGAGATCAGGACCATGGGCTTGTGGCCTCAGTGCTGGACCAGCCAGACATGGGGCAGGCCAGCTGCAGAGCAGACCTTCCTGCCTCGGGGACTGCCTCCACGCCCTGCCAGCAGCCTGCCTGGGGATGTAGCCTGCGGCAGGTTGACATGGAAGCTGACAAGCCCCCTGGATGGGGTTGGACTGGGGCTCAGGGGCCCAGTGCCTTCAGCCGGCTCTCTCCCTCCAGTTTGCAGATGGGGTGTACCTGGTGCTGCTCATGGGGCTCCTGGAGGGCTATTTCGTGCCCCTGCACAGCTTCTTCCTGACCCCCGACAGCTTTGAACAGAAGGTAAGGAGAGGTGACGTCAAGGGAGGCTCCTAGTCCACATGCCCCGACTCATCTGCCCACACCTCTGCTAGGGCCGTCGGGGAAGAAGGCAGCAGGCATCCCATCTGCCCAGGGTCTTCACTGGTTGCATGTGGGGCCCATCCTGATGAGCAGCTGAGCTGGGAAGCAGCTACCTGCAGACCAGCGAGCATCCTGAGCCACTTTCCCTTCCCCTTGCAGCCTGGCGTGGTCCCCTAGGCATGCACTCCTGCCAGATACCACAGCCCAGCCTCACCTCTCCCCAGAGGTGACAGGGAAGGTGGCTGCAAGACTGGGCAGACCTGAGGCCCACACGCACCCTCATTCTGATACCTCTCGTGGGCTGCCACCGCCTGCCCACCAGACAAGGGGCATTTGGTCCAAAGCAGAAACCCTTCTCTGCCTCTTGAACATGTCTTCCATCTTATCCTTTCAACTATGTGACTGACGTCCCTGAGTTTAAAGTCCTGGCAGTTGACATGGGAACACAGGACAGGAAAAGGCCTTTGAACTTCTCCAGGAGCGCCTCACCAACGGCAGGTTGGGGCCCGCCAGCTAACATGCCACACGGCCTGCCTGTTTTGGTAGCCTCGTTTCTCCAAATTAGGGCCTCATTTTAGCTCAGCCTCTGCCTGTCTGACTGCAGTGCTGGCTGCTTCACTTCCCAGGGGCCGGTCCTGGGGCAACTGTGGGTCCAGGAATGCACGTCCAATGCCACATACACTGCATTTCTCTTTCCAGGTCCTGAATGTCTCCTTTGCCTTTGAGCTCATGCAAGATGGAGGGTTGGAAAAGCCAAAACCACGGCCAGAAGGTAGTTTGTTCTTCCCCGGGTTTGTGACAAGACGGCGAGACCCTCTGCCTGCACACAAGCGCTCAGGGCTCAGGGCGAGGCTCCCGTTCTATAGCAGAGGGGAGACCTCTTCTCTGAAGGCTTTGCCATTGGCAGAGGAAGGCGGGACAGGGTGCAGCTGCTCAGTCCTGGGGACCCTTTGTGATCTGCAAATCACACGGCCGTGGGAAGAAAAAGAATCTGAAATCCCACACATGGGATGGCGGGGGCAAGAGCTGAGCATACGTGGCGCAGAACAGACGTGCTGCTGCGGGAAGTGCCCTGTGCCTGAATTCCAGGTCCTTCTGTCCCTGGGCTGAGTGCTGACCTGCCAGAGAGCTGTGGCCCAGGCAGGGAGGATGCAGGGTCATCGCAGGCAGCTCTGCTCTGAGCATAAACGCCTTTCGTGTCCTTTGCCCGCTCCAGCTCTGCCCCAGGACGAGGCTGGATTTATCGGGTCTGGATTGCACACACAGGACTGGAAAAAATGCCAAAGGAACGAAACGCTCCAGCAGCCCCTCGTGCTCACGCTTGGAGCCGTGGGTGCACATGTGCATGCAGGAGGCATGTTCTCCCCCGTAGTCTTCTTGGTGGTACAGATGTTTATTTTCTGCCGCTTACTGACTGATATTCCATTTACCAGCGCTAGTTAGTCAACACTGTGTTGCAGATAATTTTCTGTTTATGTCGAATTGGGACATTGAGAATGCCACTCACAGGCCCTTGGCTTGCACTTTTCCAGTCATTTAAAGCAGGTGGACAGGTGGGGATTGTGTGCTTTCACTCCCCGTCGCTGCCTCTGCCCCAAGCCCCTCCCCCCAAACCTCCTCATAGAGGGGTCGTTCGGTGACTGTCTGGTTGCCTGAGACCCCATCGATCGTGACATGCCAGGTAGGGTGGACCGTCCCTGACCACAGGCACTTGCAACCAGCCAGGGGAGAGAAAAGGTGCACCCGTCACCAAAACAGAATGAGAGTCATGATAGCTGCGATAAAAGAGGTTGTGAGAACTGAGGAGGTGATACCACGTCTGTCTGCGGCGAGGGACGGTTTGATGGAGATGGTGACAGTTGAGCTAAACCGTAAGGATCAGGTGGGGTTTTGTGTTTGGAGATTAGGCTAGAGGAGTGGGCATCCCAGACGGGATGATGACGTGAGCAAGAGTCCCGCCTGGGGAATGGGGAGGGCCTCAGTCTGTGACACAGCAGAGCATGTGGCCAAGCCCATGACAGTCCTGGGTCCGGTCCCCAGCCCACGAGCTGTGTGGCCTTGGGCAACTTACTTACCACGTCTGAGCCTATTTTTCATGTCAGTAAAAATGGAACTCCTAGAGACATGCACATGACGAGACTAAATGTAATGCTGTCTGCTGCCCTAATAATGACTGTATGCAGTTACCTATTTGGCTAGAATATTAAGAATATTCATCAATAATGAATAATGGTTGATGAGGGTGAAGCAAGCTGGTGTTAGGTCCTGGAGGGCCTTGACGCCAAGACAGAAAGTTTAGACTTTATCCTGTAGGCAGTGGGAGTCATGGAAGGTTCTTGAGCAGGTAAGTGATGTGATCAGAGCTCTGTTCCAGAGAGGTCGTTTGGAAGGCAGTGTGAAGAACAGATGTTTAGATGTGGAGCACCGTCAGCAGCACTGGGGAACCCGGGAGGGAAAACAAGCTTGGGAGGGGACATGAGGATGTCAGCTTTGGAAACTTTGAGATTGACACCTAGGCATTGACCAAGAGGAACTGGAGTTCGGGGAAAAGATCGGGGCTGTGGTTATGTAACTGGAAGTCTTCCCCTTATTGGAAGCCAACACGCCAAGAGAGTGTGGAACAGCAGGAAGGCATTTAGAGAAAAGAAAAAGGTTAAGGACAGTATCTCGTGGGAATGCCTTTACTTATGGAGCTGGAGGAGAAAGCAGGAAAACCAGAGGAGAGAGGTGGATTGTGGAGAAATGGGTCGGCCCCTGTCTCATGACTCATTCCAGACCTCAGTAACTGTCAGTTCTGGCTTCTTCTCTTTCATGATCATGTTGGTCTAAGCACCTGGTGACTGCTAGGGGAGGACCGCGTGCAAAGCTGGCGTCCCTCTAGGGGCTCTCTCCCTGGTGAGGCCGCTCTAGCCATCCTAGTGCCATTAGGAATGGATCTGAGGGTCCTGTGGCCAGAGCGCCCTGCTGCCGGGTAGGAGAGAGAGCGGGAGAGTTCTGGCCAGCATTTCTGCTTCCATTTTCTCGAACTGCTTAGCATGAAACTTCCCAGTTACAGATTGGAAGCACTCCTGCTTCTGCTTCCGTTCTGAGGCATTTATTTCCCTCAGGACAGAGAGTTTTCCCAATATCAATTAGTCGATAGGGATATTTCGGCATATAGTTGACTTCTCTTGTGCAGTTACTGGACGCTTAATATGAAACTTCCTGACCAATGTGAATGGAAATACACATCTGTTTTATTTGTTGTTACCCTGGGCCTCATGCCCATGCTGGACGTTTTTCAGCGTATAAGGGAGAATTGAAATGGTATTTTGTGCAACTGTACTTTGTGAGAAGTATACCCCAGCCCTCCCTCTGGTTTCTATGCTTCTACCTGGAAAGTGAAATTCAGTAGTAAATGCTGCAGACTTTACAAAAGGGGCCAATGTGGGTGATTCTTTGAAGGTGTTTCAAAATCAGATTGGCTGCGGTGGAGGCATTTTTCATGGCAAAAGGTTTTTAAGGTCAGGAAAATGCATTCTCGGTATGTTGTTTGACACTTAAAGCTCTGTTGTGCCTTGCAATCCCCTGGAAACTGGCTTTCCGTCTCAGATGACGTTTGCTGCCCAGGCATCATAACCTTGGAGTATCCCAACTGGGGTAAGTCAAGCGTGAGCATCAAGTTCATGGCCAATGGAGCAGTTGAAATATTGGCGTGAAGCTGGTGGCTTTTTATTTAGGACGTCGTACCTTGTCTTCAAATGCACACACCTACCCTACTAGCATCATGCAAGTAGACTCGTCATCGAGTATGGTTAGGACCCAGCATCACAGGCAGGCAGGGACTCAGAAAGGATCTAGTACCAAGCAAGAACGAAGCCTGTATGTGGGGGAGCCAGCAGGCTGATGGAATATCTAAAATTTAAGGAGTCAGAGAGCTGGGACCAGACTACTTCAAGCAATGCTGAAAATCCAGACAGGTGATGGCAGCTTAGTTCTAGGTGATCAGTACTACTTGGGGAAGGACTTGGTCAGTGGCTGGAAAGAGGAAAAATGGTTCAACTTCCGTTCCCCGTTTCCTGAGGAGATAGTGTGTAGACCAGACAGTGGCAAACGTTTAAAACTCTGATGATATCAAGTGTTAGCAAGGATGTAGAGCAACTGAAACTGATGTCGGGGCCGGCCCGGTGGTACAGTGGTTAAGTTCGCACGTTCCGCTTTGGCGGCCCGGGGTTCGCCGGTTCGGATCCCGGGTGCTGACGTGGTGCCACTTGGCAAGCCATGCAGTGGCAGGCGTCCCACATATAAAGTAGAGGAAGATGGGCACGGATGTTAGCTCAGGGCCAGTCTTCCTCAGCAAAAAGAGGAGGATTGGCAGCAGATGTTAGCTCAGAGCTAATCTTCCTCAAAAAAAAAAAAAGAAAAAGGAAAAGAAACTGGTGTGAATGTAAATTGATACAACCATTTTGGAAAATACTTTGTCCTTATCTAATATAGTTGAAGATTTCTAATACCTCAGGTGGTAGGCAGAATGATGACTCCCCAAAATGTCCATGTCCTAATCCCGGGGATCGGTTAATACGTTGTTACCTTCTGGTAAAAGGGACTTTGCAGATGTGACTAAGTTGAGGATCTCACGATGGGGAGGTTATCGTGGACAGGCTGAGTCGTTCCAGTGTAATCGCAAGGGAAGGGGAAGCGGAAGACTCAGTGTCAGAGCGATGCAGCGTGAGAAAGACCCGACCGGCCATGGCTGGCCTTGCAGTTGCAAGGGGCCGTGAGCCAAAGACTGCAAGCAGTCCTTAGAAGCTGGAAAAAGTACGAAAACAGGTTCCCCCTGAGGGTCCCCAGAAGAGAACACAGCCCTGCCGGTAGCTGATTTCATCCCAGTGAGACCCATTTTGGACTTAGACGTTTAGAGCTGTAAGATAACGAGTTTGGGTTGTTTTAAGCTGCCAAATTTGTGATACTTACAGCAGCAATAGGAAACTAACACACCCCCTGACCCAGCCATTCCACCCATGGGGATGCACGTCCGTGGAGCAGGAGACTCTGCCAAGAACAGCCATGGCAGCCGGACCTGGCGTGTGCGCCCCCAGCGTCCTGCTAACTAGGCTGGAGCATGTTCCGACCGTGGATTGATACACAGCAAGAGGTGGACTGAGAGACCAGGAGGGGGACTTCCAGCTACACAGCGTAAAGAGCTCAGTGATTATTCTGCAAAAAAGCAGGCATAAAACTGGACAAAATGGTCAAAAACAACTATTTCAGGGCGTTGAAAATTTATCCAAAGTAGACAACAAATTGAGAAGCATTTATTCTTGAAAACTATGGAATTATATTTATACCTCAATTAAACAATAAGTTATACCTCAATAAAAGTGTTAAAAAATGAGCATTCATGCAACATGGGTGACTCCTATCAACATAATTTTGAACAAATAAGAAGAAAATCACAAAAGAGTACATGTAGTATGATTCCATTTATATAAAGTATAAAAACAGGCAAAACTGAAATCTGCCGTGTGAGGGTGCAGATGTTACTGGCGGAACTGTGAGGAAGAGCAAGTCAGTCATCACGAGTCAGGACACTGTTATCTTTGCGGAGAGAGAAGGTTGTGGCCAGAGTGTAGGGGGGGGGGCTGCTAGCTTGCTGGCAGTGTTCTAGTTTTACGTGGTGCTGGTTACGTAAGGGTTCTCTTCCAAGTGCTTAGAACTGCACACATATGTGGCATGTACTTTTCTGGATGTTTACACATTAAAAAAACATTTTAAATATGGCAAAGAAAATGGCAAATTCACCAGCTAGAGTAGCAGGCCACCAATAAAATGACCCCTCTCCAAAGGATGGATTCTGTCCTGGTGGGGAATAGGGAGCACACGGGAAAGGGAGGCAGAGACTGAGGATGAGCTGGGTCCGTGGGGGTGGGGTGGAGGCCGGAACATGAGGGACACCTGGGAGCTGGGCTCCCCCCCCCCCCCCGCCAGCGTGTGGCCACCCAACTTATTCCAGCCCCCGCCACCTGGTGGCACTGAGCCACCAGGAGTCCTCCCACCTTGGTCAAGGGACTCAGGGACCCAGGGGAAGGTGGGGAGGGGGTGAGGGGGCTTCAGAGAAGGGGCCTGAGCAGCTGCCTCAGATTGGCGTGAAGGAGGCTGGAGGTGGGGGGCACATGGGCCCAGGGAGGGCCCCTCCACGTGGGGCCATGTCCCCCTGTGGAGAGCCTGGGTTTCTGCCGTGAGGAGAGGTCCCCTCCGTCCTTTGACTTCTGCATCATTTGGAGAACGTGAATTCGTTTTGGACAGTCTGCTGGCGGACAGGAAGACTCGCTAATGCCGCCGGGGGAAAGGAAAAAGCATGGAGCCCTCGCCCCTTGGCCCGAGGCTGCTTTCTCCCTGGAGGGGCCTTGAGTCTGATTTCTTACTTCCTTGGCCCCAGACAGCCCGGCTCTGCTCTGGCTGTCTCTAACCAAGAGCCGAACCATTCTGACTGGCCGTTCCCAGAGAGGGGCCCTGGGCCAGCACACCACTGCCATCAGACCAGTAGTGTGCTGCCAATCGCACAATTTATTAGGCCAGGGCCTTAGAGAGGCCCTGTGTATATAGTTTGGAGTCACAGTTCATTCCCAGGCATTCAAAGCCCCTCTCCTGCCTGAGATGGCCCACCTACTGGCCTGCCCGGAACTAGCTGGGTGGCCCGTGGCTTTCTTGATAAGAACAGACAATAAGCAGTGTCTCTGACTGCAGTCCCCGCTCTTCATCAGGCCCACCGAGTGGTGATGGCCTGTAGGAAGGAGGAACTCAGATTTCCCAAGAAGCAGGACTTAGTCTATGTGGATGGCGCCCCCTGGAGTTGTGCAGTGCACAGACTGCACTACTGTACGTAACAGCTCTGCTAACAGGCAAAGAAGGGAAAGCAGGGAGGCAATTACCATTTAGGGAGTCCTTCCTGTGTTCTGGGTGTTTTTCATAAAACCCAATTTTACCGGTGAGAAAAGTGATTCAGAGAAGTTTAGTGACTCTAACTGGGTCACACAGGTATAGTGAAGATGGGCTTCAAACCTTAGTGGGCCCTAACATTCAATAAAATGGTCCTCCCGTTGTGAACATTTTCTTTCTCTAATGGCAGAACTCACCCGTCTCTAAAAGGGGGGAACAAATCCTCCTGCCTCCATCCACATGGGGCCTTCATTGGGCCCCCAGATTCCTCCTTTGCGCCGTGCCTGCCACCTCCACTTCTCCTCTGCCCATTCTGCTGTGGACCCTGTGCCTGCCCCTGCACGTGGCCCAGCTCTCTCTCACGCCAGCAGCTGGGACCGTGTCCCCTGGGACCTCATGCAGCCCTCACCTCTTCACCCTCTTGGGAGCATGTGGCCGTGTTGGCCCCTCTCTCTTTCTGGAATTTTCTTCCTTGGCTCCCAGGACACTGGGCAATCATTCATTCACTTATCCGTTAATATCTGTTGAGGTCTGTGCACGCCACGTACTGGGCCAGGCACTGGAGCAAAACAAGACAGGCTGCCTGTGGTGAGGTTGCTCAGTGTCCGGGGCAGAGACAGATTGCATCAAAGCACACGAATCACTCATTTAGAGCTGGAGTGAGTGCCACGAAGGAAGAGCGTGGGGGCTTAGAGACATAAGCGGGTCGCCCTTCCCCAGGCCAGGGGTCCGGAGGGCTTCCCAGAGGAGGCGGTGCTCAGAGCTGAGGTCTGCGGGAGCATCAGCTGCTTGGGGAGAGTAATCTAGATGTGGCCACAGCATGTGCAGAGGCCAAGACGACAGAGGAGCGCAGCCCATTGCGAGGTGGAGAGAGGAGCTGCTGTGACGGGTGCATAGTGAATGGGGGGGGACTGCGGCGTGAAGTGAGACTGAAAAGGTGGGTGGGGTTATGCCTTGCAAAGCTGTGATTTAGGCTTTTGGACCGTATCTCAAATGAAATGGCTGTGGCCATACAAATTGTGAGCTGCACAACTCCAAGGGCCACCGTTTATGTTGTGGTCTATGGTAATGATGCCCTGGAAATGTGGACCATGTGCCCTGGTGTTGTGCAGTGCACGTCCTGCACAACCATACCTGGAGGCTGAATGGGCTAGCCATGTGAGTAGAATGGATCGGAAAGGGCTAGAGGCTTTGATAAGCCCAGTTAGAAGCCTGCTGCAGTGGCCCCAGTGCCATCCTACCTCCTCCTTCACACTCGCTCCCTTGGTGAGTTCACCTCTGCCCTGCTCTGCCTTTCTAGCAATTCCTTCCTGGAGTAACCTCCTGTTCTTTGACTTGGGTGGAATTTAAGAAACACTCAACACCAAGCAGTCAGGGGAGAAAGGAATCAATGCAGACGGCATAGGACTCCCTGGCAGAGGGTGATTCAGTATGAGCAGGGCTGAGCCACCAGGCAGGGCCCCAGGTAGAGGCTCAGATGTGTGCATGAACCAACATGGGAGCAGAAAGGGAGCTGAGCTCCAGGCCTCTCTGGTGGTCCTTGGGAGCCCCTGGTCTATCAGCAAGAGAGCTAGGAGCAGAGTCCTAGCCCAGCTGGGTGGAGCAGGGTAGGTCTGCAACTGGGATAAAGCCTGGGAGGGGCAGAGGAGCTCAGGGGTGGGGAGAGTCCTAAGAAGGTTCCTCAGCCCGGGACCCTCAGCTAGTAGCCCAGTCGGTGTGGATCTTTGCGGTGCCTGGAGCCTGGGGTCTGAGGGCCCCTGGGAGCCATAGCTCGGCCTGCCGGAGCCTTTGGCCTCCTGCCCTGCTTGGTCTTGAAAGACCTCTGTTCCTGTTGAGCAGGGCGCTGCTAGAGTCCTGACGTCGTCCCCAGTCCCTCCTTTTCCAGTGGCTCAGCCTGATCTCTCCCACCTCTGAGTCCCAGAGCATTTATTATTTTCTCTTACATCATTTGCCTCATCTGACCTTCTGCACAGTTAGGTTTTTTTAAAATCATTTTTACCGTGAAAAATACCTCATCTCCAGAAAGGTGCGTAAAGCGTAGATTACAGGCTGGTGAAATATTGTCCAGCAAGCCACCACGTCACCCCCACTTGGCTCAAGGACAAGAGTCACCCCAGCTCCTGAGAGTTCCCGCCAACCTGCTCTTTCTGAACAGAATCCTCAACCTCTCGCCTAAAGAGAACCACTGTCCCGACTTTCCTAGTCATCAGGCTTGTGCCTCTGGGATCTCTCCAGAGAATATAGCCCCAACTTCTAGTTTCAAACCCAGCTGCCTTGCTCTCTCCTCACTTGAAGCCGTCGGTCCCCTGGTGACGCGTTTCCTGAGTACTTTCTGCCAGGTGGGCTTCCTTGCTCTCTAGGGCCCTCGCTCCTGGATGCAGAGGCAGCTTAGTCCTAACTCAGCGCCTCTCCGCGCTGCACCCCCAGGCCCTTCCCTCCTCCACCACTCAAGGCTGGCTCTGTGGACAGGGAGACTGGGGGGACAGAGTCAGGCTGGGGCCAGCACCCCTGTCACCTGGAGATGCTGTTTCCAAGGCAAAGGCTGCATGCTCTGGGGTCTGCTTCATTTTAGGGAGAGGTGAGGACCCTCCCCCCATGCCCAGCACCTCTGCCCCTCGCTGCCCACCCCGGCCATCCTTCGACACCCACCTGCCCCTGGTCATCTCATGGGTTTGCACTTCTCTCCCAGCAGGACGTCCTGTGGGTGATAGGGATCCCACCCCAGCAGGTGCTGGGCACGTGAAGGGGGTGGTGGCTGGAAGGGGGCAGCAGATGCCAACTTTGGGCCAGCGGCCCCCCTGAAGCAAGGGGTGTTTTTTGTTTTCTCTGCAGACATCGTCAACTGCGACCTGAAATCCACACTGCGAGTGCTGTACAATCTCTTCACCAAGTACCGGAACGTGGAGTGAGGGGCAGGCGGGACTCTCCTCCCAACCGCCTCCGCCCGCTTCCTCCTGCCGCCTGCTCTGTGCTCGCCCGCAAGTCCAGCTACAGCCCGGAGATCGCGGGAACTGCGATTAGGAAGGAAACGATCAACAACTCAGTGGGCTGACCCACACCTCCCAGGCCCTGGGGACTGGCCCCGCGATGGCCTGGGAAGGTTGTCCCCATCCTGGTCCAGGTCCAGGTTTCCCTCAGTGTGACTTGGAAACTAGCTTAGGCACAAGAGACCCCCCCCCCCAAGAAGATGAAAATAAAGATAATAGTTACCACTCAGTGGGTGTAAACTATGCACCAGGCACCACATTAGGTGCGTGACGTACTCAGATTCATTAATCCTCGTGACTTCCCTTGAAGCAGGTGTTAGAATCCCCTTTTACAGATGAGGAAACTGAGGCTCAGAGAGGTGAAGGGACTTGCCAGAAGCTGGCATTTGTTTTTTCTCTTTGAACAACATTTTTGTTAATAACTAGCCCATCACATCACATTCTTTGCACACTCTGGAGTTGTGTGTGTGTATGTGTATATGCATGCACGTGCACCCTCAAAGAAGACAGGAGCCCACTGAGCTCACCACCAGGCAGCTAGGTCAGGACTAAGTGATTCACACTAAAATTGGCACATCAGATTGAACCCAATTAATAGTGTGTGTGTGGCAGGAGTCATGGCCCTCAACTCCTTTGTACAAATGAAAATTACTCTTAATTCCTTCAGATTTGTAATAACCCCAGACTCTGGTTTCAGGGTGACATTTGGGAAGGATTCTGTTTAAAATTAATGGAGTGGCACATTTTGCAGCCTTTTTGCTTGATTGCATGTAATGGAAATGCCCTATATTTTCCTGCAAAATAAGTACTCAATTCATTATCGTGTGGCCAAGGGAGAGTATGCTCAGGCCCCGCAGAGAGCTGGGCGCAGGCCCGTGTGAGCATGGCTTCGGAAGTAGAGCTCTTCAACAGGGACCCTTGAACTTTAAAGAAAGGAACTCCTTTTTGCCTTCTAATTGATCATTTAGACCGTTTCTGACTAAGTCTGCCCACAGACAATTATCGGCTAATTCAGGCGAGGAAAAAATGTCAGTCATTTAGACCCAAGCCGAGCAGTTTCATTGCGTGGCTGCCCGTGGGCTTGTGGTTACTTGTGTCCCCTCTCTGTGAACCTGACTTTGAAACCCAGGCCTCTAGGGCCCCAGGCTGCCGGGTCCTGGAGGAACGGGAAAGGGGCTGAAAGTGGGGGTGAGCACGGGGACAAGACGCGTGGGGGAGATATTTGCATACTTAACGTCTAGGGGAATACAGACAAAGGGATGGGGCTTGTGGGGTTTACAATCTTCATAAATGGACCAAGGCCTTGGCACAATTAATAACTTTTACTGATATTATGTTTTCATTATAGATTTTCCTAAATATGCCAGATGGACAGCAGCCTGGGTCCCGCCTCCAGAAGTCTGTGCCTGCTTTTGTCACTAGGCCATTGCACAAAGTCCGTCTCTAGTTTAAAGAATTCATTTTGGTCTCCATCTACGCCACCCTGAATTAGGCCTCTCGTGTTGTCCAAAACATTTCCTTCCAGCTTCTAAACATTTCTTACGCTACGGTCTATCTGCAGTCACTCAGAACCCGTGAAATTTAGATATGCTACATATTTCTCTGGATATTTTGCTCTCAGAAAGAATTGTTACTCAGCAGAGTGAGCGTTTAAGACGTAGAGACAGTGTACTCTCTTGTGTCAATCTATGTGAAAGAATACAATTCTTTTTTACCTAATCAATGAAATATTCCTTTTTTTATTAGGAAACGCTAAATAGTGTAATATTTCTGTTTGCTTTCTTTTAAATTGCTGATGGCAAATCAAGATAAATCATTGCTTTGTCCCCTTGAGCAATGCTGAAGCGGGTGAAATAAGAGAGATGCGTTCATTTAAACATGCTTTGCTGTATGAATTTTGTCTCCTTTTTTGTCTTTTTTTTCCTTCTCTTCAAGCTGCAAGGGTCCATGTAACAAGGGCCCTTATGAAGAGCACCCCTTTTTATATTTTATGTATACACAGTGTGAAAACACGTCAGAACACCTAGAAAATTGTTCAGTAACAGGTCTAATTATCAGAAAATTGTATTTGGAGACCGAGGCCTTAGCCTCAGCCAGCATCCCAGGGCCCCGGCCTGGGTTTACAACCCTGTTGTCTCGCTCAAAGGGTTTTCTTTAGATTCTAAAATCTCCTGCTTATTACATGCCCGGGTTTTCAAAGAAGGGAAAGGCATCAAAACAATAAATAAACCAAACTTAACCGTCCTCTCTTCCCAAAAAAAGAAACTGAGACAAGAATCGAGTCTCGGTAAGTTCCCTGGGTCCTTTTTTTTTTCCGCCTTTTCTCTTCTTTTCTAAATTTAAATTCATTGATATTTTTAATAGTTAATACATAAATGGTGCAAAATTTAAAAATCATGAATGGGTATCTAATGAAATACCTGAATCGCCCTCCCTCCCCTCCCCCAGCAGCCAGCACCCCTCCGCAGGGGCAACTGTTTTGCTCTGTTTCTTAGTTTCACTTCCCAAGACATTCCAGTCATATGAAGCATCAACAAACATATAAAATCGTTGGGTTGGTTTTTTTTTTTTACATAAATAGCATACTATACATACTGTCATGCGCATTGCTTTTTCCACTTAATGTTATCTCTTGGCAATGATTTTACACTGGGTATTAAAACCTTTCACATTTTAAAATGAGAATCTGAGCGCTTTGTAAAGCCAAATGCACATCTCTGGTCTGCTTGAGCGAGGCACTGGAAGCCCTCCCCGAGGAGGAAATGCTGCCTGGATGGTGATTTCAAAGACAGGACTGGGGTGGGGGCGGGGGCGTGTTACCAGAGACATTCTCATGTGCCTGGAACCGAATTTCTTTGAAAGGCCTCCTTTGGGTTATTATGGGGAATTGCATGCACTTTGATGAAGCTTTTCATTTGTGCATATTACTAGGGCTACTAATTTGTAATCAACTAAGAAAGTCCCCAACGTGCCTGAGTCCCCAAGAAGCCCCGCCCCCATGCGCTGCTGGCCTCCTCTACCGGAAGGCTCCGGTTTCACATGTGCGGGCAGAGTTGACATTTCCAAAACCTGGGAGAGGGACTGTTTATCAGCACATCATCAGTGTCGCCTTGAATTGGTTGCGATTTGCAATTGCTGCTCCGAGTACTTTTTAATTATGAATTACTGTTAGTGTAGCTTTATCATGATCAGTTGACTTTGTTGTGGGTTGCTTGGCTAACACTACAGAATATACTGAAGCTTATTTGCATGAACAGTATTGTGGGGCTGTAATTTTCCAATAACCAGACTCTAAGCCATGTATACACTGTGGTTCAAATATGAACCATCCGTTCTCCAGTGCTAGAGCAATGTATACATAATCCACTCCCCGACAATTATCACAAATTTATTTTTCCGCTGGAAAATGAGACTAGATAGAGCCAGTAGGTCAAAGCAGTTTTGCTCAAGTGTGAGCTGGTCAAAAATAATTTGAGATTCACTGCCTTTAATACAGCCCCACCTCAAGAACCTCCCCACATAAAACATCCAAGATATGCAAGAGAAATAAGTCCCAAAACCCTCACTAATGCTAATATTGATGCAATCTCCCCCCATAAAATTCACTTAGGTCTATTGGAAAATTCAAGAGAGTTGCTGCGGATACTGAGAACAAGAAAACTGCATTGAAATGCAAATACTGGGTAATAGGTGGACTCACTCACCTGCTAAGGGGCTGAAGTCTACACACCAGCTTCCCAATGCTTGCAAATTCAGGTCTCCGCAAAAGACAGGTTAGTATGTAAGAGCTGCTCGCAGCCGTAACTACAGTCACGTGCCACATAACGACGTTTTGGTCAGTGACGGACGGTGTCCCATAAGATGAGTATCATAAAGACTAGGTGTGTAGTAGGCTTTACCATCTAGGTTTGTGTAAGTATATTCTATGATGTTCACATAACAACGAAATCACCTAATGATGCATTTCTCAGAATGTATCCTTGTCATTAGGTGACACATGGCTGGACAAAGATTCTATCTGCAAACACAAAGTTTTGACTGTTTTTTCCCTCTTTTCCCTGAAAAATATAAATCCAGGCTAACTTTGAAATTTGCTCCTGCCCCCTGCTTTACTGCAGTGGTGGTTGCACAGAGAATACGTGCCTGTGTGCTCTTGACAACGGCAAGGCAACCGTGAGGGGGGTCAGCGCAGGATGGGCGGCCCCCACACCAAGCCTGACAACCTTCCCAGGTCGGAAGCCACCAGTGAAGCATCTCTTAAGTACATTCTGCAGAACGTTAGGTAAAAAAACTTCACATTCAAATAAGTTTGAGAGACGTGAAGCTAAAGAAGATTAATCTCGCTTTCTTAGGTTCGGTTTTATCTTTTGCTTTGTTTTTGTTTTCTATTTGGAGCCCATCTCAGAGTTTCTTACACTAATGCATTATCCCTCTCTAAGGGGAGACAGAAGAGGGCACGTCCCGATGGTGTTTGAGCACGGGACCTATTTACCCCCTGAGACATTTGCAGGATGCAGACTCTGTGGAACTCGTCCACCCATTTAACCATTTGGCCATATGGTCCACGAGGATGTGCCGAGCATCTACAATGTGTCAGGGGTACTGTGTCCAGTGGCGAGTGAGCTCACAGTATAATGGGAGAGATGCCTGAAAAATAATCACAAATCGATGGTACTTACAAATTGTGATCACCGCTGTGAAGGAAAGTACAAAAAACTATAAAAGAGGTCTCACTTCGATTCTGAGGTCAAGAGAGTTCTCTGGCCAAGTGACGTTTTAAAGTGACACACGAATCGTCAAGCTACTCAAGTGAAGAGCTTGCTGTTCAAGGGAACAGCACAGGTGGGGATCCCGAGCCGGGAGACTCAGCTCCCTGGAGGAATTGGCAGAAAGCCGGGATGGCTATTGTACAAAGAGTGAGGAGGAAGAAGATGTGTCCCATCAGAGGATTGCAGGTTTTATCATAAGAAAAATGGGAAGCAATTTTTGTTAGGCCTTTTGGCCACCAAGTGGAAAAACTTCGGGGAAAGATACGTTGGCGGTATAGCGGTCTGAGGCTGCCATTTCCCACCTACACCTCATGGTCATGGGTAGAGAGCAAAGAGGTTAGGAGAGGAGATAGAGCCTCTGGCCGCCCCTGCCGCACTCCTCAATCTGGCCCCAAGCACGAGCTGGAAGCCTAGGTGTGCTGTTCTAAGGCAGCACCTGCTGCGTGGTCCTAATACTCCATCACTGGGGCTGCTGAGAGGGCAGGAGCTCCTAGAGCATCCCCAGCCTCTCCACATTTTGGTCCTCTGCGAAGTGCTAAGGGACCGGCAGACTGGATGAGGCTGCTTATGAGAAGCAAAGGAAGGAAGAGGACTACCAGACGGAAAGCTGATCCCTGGGGACCAGTGCCTCCAACCTTCTCACCACGGAGGACTGCTGCTGTTTTATCCCTGTGTGGATTCAGTGGGGTGGGGGTGGGGGGGGGGGGATGCTGTCATCCAGCCTGTGTCAGGGCAAGGCGTAGGCTTCCTGGAGGCAAAATAATAATTTCATTTTCCCAGTCCATATTAATCAGCATGAATTAGTATTGTTACAATGCTTACCACGTTAGATAAAGCCTACCAAAAGTGAGCCCCTTATGCTTCACAGTTAGTGTCTTGTGAAACATATTCTTAGGAAGGTATAGTATTTTCACTGGGAGTTTTGAAATACAAGAAATATCCTTGGAAACCTCTGCTTGGGAGGTCCCGGGTTGGAGACCAGTCCAGCGGGTGTCTGCCCCAGAATGTCTCTTCTCCTTAGCCGGCGCCCGAGACCTGAGCGGTGTCTCGTCTCGCCTGACTCCCTGGGCCTTCTGCACACACATGGGCACTAGCTTTGATGCTGGCATTTAAAAGGGCACTTAGGAAATTCTGAGACGCCCCAATGATTAAGATAAATGATGTTTTATCAGCGAAACAGACTTTTCATTTCTTGTTATCGATTTTCATGTTTTCACATCTTCAGATGCAATTTGTTAGCCCAGGGCGGCATTCCAAGACACACAAATGTCATTAAGTGAACCACTTTAAAGGGTGCCATGTTTTATTGAGGCGGACAGGACAATAGATAAATATTTAATCTGTTGCACGTTTGTTCGGTATGGGAGCGAGGGTTGGGGCTGCCTGACTCTCGGGCTCTTATATGTCTTCCTGGAAACCCTGACAATGGCCTCACCACTCGCCTGTAGAAACAGTGCCTGCCCTAGGCAAACATTTGCCGGCGTTTCTGAACAGCAGCCCCTGGAAGCCTGCTTTCATTCGAGCTTCACAGCTTACCCCATCTTCCCTTATTTGTCATGACATGGGAGACTATAAACTCTCATGGAACTGGGGACACATTTGGCTTCAAATAATGGACAATGAGATGGTGACCATGCACTAAGCTAGGTTATCAAGGCCATGGACCCCCCATCTCTTCTCTCTCCTGAGTCTCAGGTTGATGCCGTGTACTCACAGGGTAGTTGCATTCTCTGTGCTACACTGGAGCCTGCGCTTGCTGCGTCGTTGGTTCTCCCAGCTAATTCCCATAATGTCCTATTATCCTACATTGGAATTGCGTGCTGTCCAGATCCATGACCAAGTCTGTCCTTGCCTGTGAGAGACCAAGCTCACCGGTAGCCACCCTAATCAAGGGATCTGCCAGATTGCTTTAGTTTTTAAAATTCACCCATCCACACGTCTTCATTTTGGGATTAAATGGCTTTCTGACCTGCATGCCTTCCGTGTGATTTGTCAATAAGATCCAGAGCTTTCTCTCCTGTTCCTTTCATGAGGATTCTAATCCCTGCATGAACTGTGGCCTGAGTCTGGCCTAGCATTGATGACTGGGATGCTTAACACCATGGGACAAGAAGAATCGCTGTCGG